AACTTTCCGTATTACGACCAAAATTCAACCACAATTATATGGTCGTCCACCACCATGAATTAGAAAAACCAATCACCCTTTGTTATGTCTTTCAGGATTTTTCCAGTCATTTTCATTCTAGAATGCCATATCCCTCAAATTCAGTCAGACCATCTTTTTACCAAAGCTCTGGTCATGACACTGTAAGTCTGTCAAATATTATGGCATGAAAAGTATTAAAAAGTATTTAAAAAAAGGGGTTTTCCCATCTTTTCAATAGCTTGTTAGTGTTGTTAGGTTAATTGGTGAGTCTAAATTGGATATAGGTGTGAATATAGGTGCAAATAGTTGTCTGAGTTGCTGTGCTAGCCCTGTGATAAACTGGTGACCTGTCCAGGCTGTACCCTGCCTCTTCTCTTATGGCAGTTAAGATGGGCTTCAGCCACTCCACAACCCTGAATTGGATAAATAGAAGAGATTGGATAGATGAGCTTTCCCTGCAGCTGTAGCTAGCCAACCAAGCTGAAGGCTAATGACAGTTTATGTGCAGTTAACCTAGCTATTTTTTTTTAAAGTAGTAATATTTCCAATAGTAGTAGTTACAGTTAGAAGAGTCACAAACAAATCTCTGTTTATTAAGAATTGTATTAGCTTGTTTGCTAACATTGATAATAATGTGCAAGCATGACAAACATTGAGACTAGTGATTGGGTTGCTAGCTATTATTTAAATACATTGTGGTGTGAATGAGACACGGCGAGTCCACAGATCAAGGTTTTGGGCCATCTTTATTAGTTCAGCTGCAGCTCTCAGCTCTCAGCTGCAGATGCATCACACCACAACACCAACCCAAACACAACCCTAATTCCCCTTCTTGCAGCCAGTGGGTGTGATTGCGGATGCAGAGTGGGTGCGTCTGCCTTCCCTGCACTGCACCGCAAACCACGTCCCACCACATACATACCAGCAGGTCAACTAATACTGTTAACTGCTGATGGGAAATTTTGCTGTGAACTGTGTACATATAACACATTAATGAGAATCAATATCACAAACTGAGAAATTTCATTTGTGACAAAGTTCATTTACATGAAAAGAAGTAAACAGACTTCAATAGACTTTAGTTTGTATTGTTAAATGAGAGTTCAGGATACAGGTGCAGAGTACAAAGACACAGCAACATGCTTTAGCAGAAAAAAAGTTACAAAACTACATGATAAAAAATTTTATCCACCACTTCCATATCTATTAGTAAAATACACTAGACACTAATAAATTAAATTTGCAGAGTAAAAAAAAAAAACATCCTGTGGTTTCTCACTGACTTCCAGGAGCTTCACTGACAGATGTGCCTTATACCACCCAGCAGTGTCACAAGAGGAAAAGACTGGAAGAAAAGCACAGTGGTAAAATAATAAGTGGATGCACAAGAAGAGTCACAAGTCATCAGCAGTGTCACCAGTAGTACTTTGTGAATCGATATTTCGAGGCCACCATGACAGATGAACCCTGGGGCTTTGACAAAAACAAAAAAAATGCTCAACCCTGACTTCAGTGCACAGGATATTTAATTGTATATAACTTTATTACATACTAGTGAAAGTGGAAGTAATCTGTTGTTCATCATGTCATATTACACCTTACCAGGAATGTTCTTATGTACAATTTCAATTTATTATTTAGTTCACTTCAAACAAATAATAAAGCTTATGACAATTATACAAAATGCACACACTTTTTTTCCACCTCACACGAGTCACTCACAGAGCAGAAGTATATATATATATATATATATAAAATATAAAAGTCTGATGTATCCGCTCAGCCTGACAACTGTTCACTTCCTGTCCAGCCTTTTTTTTTTTTTTAAATCCAGCCACAGCTTCAGAATGCAACATAGCTGTTTCATTGCAGCATTTACAGGACACAAAGGTAAGAAAAAAGATATATATATATTTTCAAACATATTTCATAAAGGAGTGCTGGTTTAGCTCACAGAGCAGGCAACCACTTGCCACAGGACTAAATGCTGTGGCCTGGGTCTGACTCCTAAACTCAATATATGTGCAATAATGCTCACATTTAAATGCTTTACAAATGGCAGAGTTGGTCATGCTTTTTAAGTTTTGCAACCTTTTATTTAATATTTTCTGTTCAGTCCTTCGTGGCTTGTTGTTTTATTATTTTCCTTGTGATAAGGAGTTAATATTTCAATGCAATGTAGTGTCTGAACTCTGTTTTCTTTTTGTTATTTGTGTCCTCCATTCTTATTTACAGATAATGTTGTTTCCCTCTTACATTCCCCGTGTCTGTTAGGTGTCAGTGTTAGACATTCTTGCATTATCAGACTTTCTTTTATGTTTTCTTTGCCACTGTCTTTGGGGTTTCTGTTTAGTTTTACATCCTCTGTCCAACCTGATTGTGTTTTTTTTTGTATTTTTCCCCTCCCTGTGTATCTTTAGTGTACTTAAATCCTCAGTTTACCTTACTTTCTTATCATAGTTTGGTTCTTTTTTTCCCTGTTTAGCTTTGTGGAAAATGTTTAATGTTTCATTGGACGTGTTCTATGTTAAAATAAAGGTTTGTTTTTGTATAGTAACTCAGCCTTAAAAGTCTACATTTGGGTCCACCGTCACACCAATTCACCAAGTGACAAAGAGGGTGTTAACAGAACTGAGAAGAGTGAAGAAAACCCTTCCTTCCTCTTAAAACGGTCTCTGCAGGGGGAGGGGGACACAGTGAAGGAAACAGGGAGGAGACTTCATGCAGACATGCAGAAGAAACCTCTAGAAAAAATTACAAATTACAATTTAATGCCCAGGGGTGAGACAATTGTTATTTTGTGATTGACAGTAAAAAAGTTAATTGTACATAGACAAATAAATAAATATATAATAAAGATAAAAGATAAAATACTTACAGTTGTATTTGCATTTTGCTAGTCTTTGCCTGTCTGATATAGAAGAGGAAGGTGAGTTAATCATTATAATTTTACAATTAACTCATAATGAAATGTCCATAAAAACATCTTTAATTCCTCTGCTTCTAAAGTTCCAAACAATATTTCTTACAGCTGAGAAATATTCAGCAGACCTGGACAAGAAAAGGTCTAAACTCATTCAAACAATCACTTTGGTGATGCCTATAGCAGAGGAATTGAGACAGCAGGGTTTGATCTATCCAGAGATGTACAACAAAATCCAAGCTGCCAGGACCAGCCAGGATCAGATGAGGGAGCTCTACAATGCACTGACTACTACAAAATCCAAATCTGCATTCTACAGAATCCTTCAAGAAATTGAGCCACAGGCATGTGAAAGTATGTGACACCTTTTTTAAAAGTATATATTTCAGTTGCTTGGTAACCATATATACAACCCCTTCAATTCTGAAAATGATAGAAAGGAAGTATACACAACTTAAAAACAGAATACAATGATTTTTAAATGTTTAGAAACCCATACTTTATTCATAATAGAACATCTTGCTTTTCTCCAGAAAAGCAAGGATTTATATTGAATGTCTGTGATGTTCGGGCCCACTGGAAATCGCTGTAAGCCATATGCGAACATGTTCTAACAACTTTGTCATCTTCTAGGTCAAAATTCATTTTAAGTGGAGTGAGGCAAAGTAGAAAACTGGGGTCAGATGAATAGAAATTTACGCCACGTCCACACGTACACGGGTATTTTTGAAAACGGAGATTTTCCGTTTTGTGTGGAGTTTTGTGTCTTGAGCTGTGAGTCTTTGAATTTGTGCAGAATGTGTGGATTATCTGTGGTGTTAGGTAGGTTAGAGCAGCGGTCCTCAACCTTTTTTGCGCCACGGACCGGTTTATGCCCGACAATATTTTCACGGACTGGCCTTTAAGGTGTCGCAGATAAATACAACAAAATAAAACTAGTACCGGTACCGAAAAAAATTAGATTTATTTATAACACACGTGAAAAGACCCAGGAAAAATAACGCTGAAAACCGATAAAAACCCTGAAAACCATACATTTCACACCTGAGCCTCAACTCTCGCGGCCCGGTACCAAACGACTCACAGACCGGTACCGGTCCGAGGCCCGGGGGTCGGGGACCGCTGGGTTAGAGGCACTCATGTTTTATGGTTTAAAGAAAAGAACAATTTAAAGAATTATTTAAAGCCATGTAAACATTGCTCAGTTATCTGGATCTCCAGAGTTGCACCTCATCTAAAAACAGTAACACCACTGCACACTTTCCATGCAGTTAGTCACCTGGCCACTAGAGGTTGCTTCTCTTTAACAAATAGCTGGAGTTTATGGGACAGGACAGTCTGTCTTAGCCAACATTTGGTTTTATTACTACCTTGACTGAGATTCTCATTAAATAGCAACATGAGAAGCTACACTTGCACAAATTAAGTATTTGACACTTTAAATTTATAGGTTACAAAAGCTTTGTGAATGAGTGGATTATTATTTTGTACAAATAACATTTAAGACAAAAGGCCACACTGAAATCATGCACATTTTAGAAGCACAGCTGCAAAAATGTCTTTAATGTTTATTTCAATGGCACGTTACTCTTCACATATAAAATGCAAGGGACACTAATAAAGGTAAATTCAACATTTAAAAGCTGGCAGTAGTCTACCGTGAATGGGTTTACCTTAACAAATTAATAACGTGTTTGCTATTACTATCTGAACATAAAAAAATAACTCACCAAACCGGTGATGTTACATTGAATCTGATTCTTCACACAATGTACAAAGCAAGAGAGGGAGAGAGAAAAAAAGAGAGCGCGAGAGATAGAGAGATAGAGAGATAGAGAGATAGAGAGAGTGAAAGCGATCAAGTGAACAGAGAGAGATTCACCCAGCCGACTCTCATATTTACTGCAGCTACTACAGGACATCGAACACAAAGGTAAGATAAACATATTAACCGCATATCACATTCACCCAATCAAATATCTTAGATGTCAATGATCATTAACTCTCTGAATGCTTAATTTTTTTTCTTACTTTTACTTTTACACACACCGGACGCGGTTGTAAAGCCACAGCACTAATGCGATAGAGCGTGGTAGCCTAGATCGCACTTAAACGCTTTGAGTCATTGAGCTGACACAGAAGAACAAACATGGGCAGCCAATGCTCTACACACAAGAGGGGTCAAAGGCAAAACAACAAATCTGACCAAAAGAAAAAGGTTGTTTGCAGCACAGAGGAAAGTGGAGCAAATTCCTCCCTCCTAAGACGGCCGTCTGTGCAGGGGCTGGGGACTGCATTGAAGGAAGCAGAAGAGCATTTATCCAGACATGCAGAAGAAACATCTGGAAAAAACAACTGTAGTGAGAACAGCAGTGCACATGACTGTGCTACTGCTGAAGTTAACACCTTCAGGTGAGACTTCATTATTTTTCATTCATAAAAAAAACTGTTTGTCTTTTATTATCACACTGATTTTATTAAAAAAAAAAACAAAAAACGAATATACAATCAGTGTAACAACATAAATGTAAGATGCAACTCTTACCTTTTTCTTTTAAAACATAATATGGTTTACACATTAACCACTTACAGTAACTTTGTTTCTGTCCTTTGTCAGTCCTTGCTTCAGCAACAAAAATGGTGAGTTAAAGTTAATAATTTTAAGACAAACTCTGGTCATAAAATACCCATTAAAATGCAATCTCTTACAATTAATTTGTGTTTTTTTTAAAGAAGCTGACTGGGTGGACAGCAACAGGTCTAAGCTCATTCAAAGCGTCACTTTAGTGATGCCAATAGCAGATGAAATGAGACAGCAAAAAATGATCCATAAAGAGACCTACAACAAAATTGATGCTGCAACAACAAGCCAGGACAAGATGAGGGAACTCTATAACGCCCTGACTACTCAAGAAGTCAAATCTGCTTTCTACAGAAGCCTCCAAGAAATTCAGCCGGAGACATGTGAAAGTATGTAAGGTGTTTGGGTGAAACATTTTGAACTGCCCTGTTATCTCTTTTGTTTTTCATTTAATGCATAAAAAATAAGACAGTTATGACATACAGATAATTCTGCAAAAGTTGTTGAGAAGGCTTTCTATACTTTGCCACGTTAAAGGATAATACATAACTAAAGGCTAGCTAGTAAGATTTTTACATAAAATCTAAGCACATAAAATCTGTGGAAATATTTTCTGTGTTAAAAAAATGTTTTAGACTCAGATATTTTAGTGCATATTTGGAACCAAGCTCACTTTTTCAGATCCAAGTAAACTGATCTCACCAAGTGATTCACTGCATTTGGCTATAGGTGTGGTTGTAGCACAAAACGCACACCAGTACCTCCAACACACAGCTACGAGCTGCTCCAGGTCACTCAGCTTTCTGAAATGATTTCTCTGCTTTCTAAGATGTGGTCCCAACTCTGTTAACAAGAGCTCAAACAGCGACACCGAATATATGTATGATAGTGGTGTAATGAAAATTCAAGTCCTCGATCAAACCATGAATTTGCCCCTGCTACTGCCTTTTCAGAAAAAATGGATGAACCCAGAATTTCTTTGTTTTTTGTTTAGAAACAACAGGACGGACTTAATTAGTTTCACAGTTTCACAGATGGCGAAAACACGTGTTCGGTGTGTAATGGCCTAAACGCTGAACACGTGGATACACATTGTTGGGTGTAACGAGTTATAAAGTAATGCATTGCTGTAATTACTTTGGATTTTTCAGTAATGGAGTAAGTTAACGTGTTACTATACTAAATTCAGTAATTACACAACAGTTACAGTAGAGAGGAAAAAAAATCAGATGTTTATTTTCCTGCGTCCTTCCTGCGCTACAATCAGCTGAATTGTGTTTGTATGCGTGGGGAGGAAAATGGTGAAGAAGTATATCAATGCAACTTTTGAGAAGTGGCGATATGGACATTACTAATTTGTATTGCTCAAAAGGACAAAAGTGCAATGGTAAAGTCGAAACTATAATTCGGACTAAAAAAATGCATAATTGGTAACACAACTTTGGTTCTTTACAAGGACAGCATGCTAACACCCAACTAGTCAAAAACCCAGAGTAATTTTAAACTGAATCCAACCCCAGCCCAGCAGCCAACGTCTGATCTTCAACAGGTAACAAAGGCAGTGATGAGCAGTCAGGCTTGAAGTGTCTAGAGGAATAGTGGCGATCAATTGGAATTGTCTATGGGTTGAAAGTTGATTCTGTTCATCTGAACGTAGCGTTTTCAGCGGGAGAAACATTTCATCACCCGTAGCTTCTTCAGTCTTCAGGTTTTCCTGACCTTATAAACAGTACATTTGCATACAGTTGTGTAACTAATTACTTCCTCTGTTAGTAATTAAAAACCATGCTGCATTACTTTAAAGAACTCAACACTGTACATATATGCATATATAAATAGTTGAGTAATAGAGTCCACACAGACAACAGAGTTCGAAGAAACAAGAAATTAAAAAAAAAATCTAACCATGGAACTAGACCAGGGCTAATGATAGTTATAAGATTGTTCTTTTTCCTCTTTACCTACAGCAGAAGATGTCATCAAGGAGGTCATCAAAAAGAACAAAGAATATCTGAGGCAGAAGTGTCAGTGGCAGCGGGAAGGCACTGAAAAGACTTCTATTGAGGAAAAATCATTGGATAAAATTTACACAGAGCTTCACATTATAAAAGGAGAGAGTGAACATGTCAATAAACAACATGAGATCTGGGAGATTGAAGATAAAGCGAGGAATCAAACTGTTGAGGGTACAAAAATCAACTGTAATGACATCTTCAAGCATGAGCAAGACGACAAAGAAGTGAAAGCAATCAGGACTGTGATGACAAAGGGGATCGCTGGCATTGGAAAAACTGTCTCTGTGAAGAAGTTCATCCTTGACTGGGCAGATGGAAAAGCCAATCAGGACTTGGACTTCATCTTTATGTTTCCATTCAGGGAGCTAAATTTGGTCCAAGATGATCAGATTAGCTTTGAGAACCTTGTGAAAACATTCCATCCAGAACTTAAAACCATAGCAGTTGCGAGAGCTTTGGCTGATCGTAAAGTTTTGTTCATCTTTGATGGTCTCGATGAAAGTCAACTTCAGCTGAAATTCAAAATGACCACAGTACTGGATGATGCTACGAAGGTGTCCTCAGTGGACACTCTGGTGACCAACCTTATCAGGAAATATCTTCTTCCCTCTGCACTTGTTTGGATTACCTCAAGACCAGGAGCAGTTCAACGCATTCCTCGTAAGGATGTCGACCAGTGGACCGAGGTCAGAGGATTTGATGATCCACAAAAAATAGAGTACTTCAGAAAGAGAGTTGAGGACAAAGCAGTCGCTGAAAAAATAATTGAACACATAACAATGTCACGGAGCCTGTACATTATGTGTCACATACCTATCTTCTGTTGGATTGCTGTACATGTTTTTGAGTATTTGATGCGTAAAATGAGAAACACCAAAGATGGAAACCAAAAAATACCCACAACTCTTACTGGGATGTACACACACTTCCTTCTTATTCAGATGACGATAGCTAATGAAAAATATGGCGACCAGGAAGACCAGGAAGAGCCTGATACAGCAGAGCTTTTTAAGTCAAATGAAGAGTTTATTTTGAAATTAGGCAGGTTGGCCTTTGAGCAACTGGAAAAGAGCAAGATCATATTCACTGCTAAAGATCTGGAGAAGTATGACATAGATATAAGGAAAGCTGGAGTTTACTGCGGGTTGTGTACAGCAATATTCAAAGAAGAGAGCGTGTTCCTAACAAAGAAACTTTACTGCTTTGTGCATCTGACAGTTCAAGAGTATTTTGCTGCTCTCTTTGTATATCACAGTTTTGCAAACAAAAAAATCGATTCTGAAAGTCTCAAGGATTTCATGCTAAAAGGGTCTGATGAAGAGCTCAAGTCTATCTTGGAAACAGTTCCAGTGGATCTACCTTTAAATGAACTGATTGAAATTACAATAGCTAATTCAACTCTGAGAACGACCGGAGAACTGGACATGTTCCTCAGGTTCCTTATTGGCTTGTCTCTACAATCATCAGAAGAACCACTTCAAAGTCTGATTCAGCAGACTGAAGAGCATTCAACAAATATTGAAGAAATTCGGTCAAGTCTATTAGAAATAGATTTGTTTGACTGCTCAGCTGAAAGATGTCTAAACCTTGTCCACTGCCTGACTGAGTTGAAAGACAGTTCCCTACATGAATCAGTACGAAAGTATCTGAAAACAAATTGTTTTCCTGAATCACCGCTCTCTCCTGTTGAGTGTTCAGCTCTGGCTGACTTGATTCTGATGTCAAACACGCCTCTGGATGAATTCAATCTCAAGAAATACAGACCATCAGGAAAAGGTATCTTTAGACTTCTTCCAGCTGTGAGGAACTGCAAAAAGGCAAGGTAAGTCTATAGTGAAGCAAATCTATCAGACAAACACCAGTGAAACTGCAGGTCTAACATATGTCAGTGTACCTTGATATATTGTTATGCCAGTTCAGAAGAGTCATAACAAGACTACAGTTTGAAATATAGTTTACGGTTATGATCAATGGAGTCTTTGCAGTCTTTGCTGCTTTGTCTGGCACTGTGAAATAAAAGAGCTGTTTAAAAAGAAACAGAAAGAAAACACAGCGGATTGAGGCCTTAGAATTAGGTGCTCAGTGCTATGGGTGATTAGTGGGAATAACTGTGCACATACCATGTTTTAACATGCTCTTGTGAACCATCCCGTATAGAATAAATAAAATTAATCAAAACAATTTAACTGAGCACAGGTTTCTAGTGCTGAGTTGGAGAAAATTCTATCATTTTTACTGTAAAAATTCTTCAGATTAGACAACAAATATATATATATGCTAGCAAATGATTTACATGCCTTTAAAACTTTACATTGCACAATGATCTTTTAAAAAAAATTAATTTAATTTAATCAAATTTTTTTTGCAGAATCTCAGGCTTGGATCTTAGTGTTTCGGAATATAAAACGATCTCTTCAGCTCTTTGCATACCACACTCTGTGTTAACTGAGCTGCACTTAGTCAATAACACAAGCAGGGACTATCAAGGTGCAGAAATCTTGGCTGACGGACTAAAATATTCTCAGTGTAAACTAGAGGCTCTAAGGTTGGTAAAATTATCATTTTGAGTTTTTTTTTTTTTTTTTTTTTTTTTTTTTTTTTTTACCATCTGTCATTTCTTATTATGATTTTGTGCCTTTTGAACAGTGTGCTTATATATTCACTGGAAACTTTGTTAGGTGTAACTGGCTAGTAGTGGGCTGTACCTTTTAACTTCAGATGTCTTCTTAACTTCTTCATGACATAGATTCAACAAGGTTCTGGGAACATTCTTCAGAGAGCTTTGTATGGTTTCCTGCTTGAAACTGTTGTTTCCAGACAATCCCCCTGTAACCATACACATGTGTATACTATGGTTACAAAGGAATTGACATGGTCAGGTAGACTGTGGTGTTTAAATGATTCTCTATTAGTACTAACTAATCAGTAGTTAGTACTAACAGAGAATCTGAGTGTCTCAGTAGTTTCTCAGACCAGTTTCTCAGGCCAGCTTGTCAAACAAACATGACACATTCCCAGTCACTTAAATCACCTTTCTTTTCCATTGTGACTCTCAGTTTGAAGTTCAGTGGGACATCTTGTTTCTACATGCCTAATTGCACTGAGTTGCTGCTGTGTGACTGGTTGACTAGATTTGTGAACAAGTATAGCTGACATAGTGGTGAATGTTATCATGTGGATCTTTTCACCTATTGTCCTTTGCCCTTGCAGTCTTTCTGGTGAAGAACTCTCAGAACAACAGGCTGAAGATTTGGCATCAGCCATCCAATCATTAATCTCAAATCTAAGAGAACTGGAGTTGAGTGGCAACATCCTGAGGGACTCACTATGTTCTGTGCTGTCAGTTGGATTAAGATCCCAGAAACTGGAGAAGCTCAGGTCTGTTTTATATGTTATTCTTCATCTAATTTTTTGGCTTTCTCATATGTCAGAAATTCAGTTGCTCTGAAAATTTTCAGCCAGATAAAAACAACAATCGAATTTTATTCTCTGCAACAAAAGACTGAACCGAAATCCAAAGCCTGAAAAAATCTGCGAAGAGTTAGTGGCAGCATTCAAATCCAGCACCTGTTATCTGAGAGAGCTGCAACTGAACTACGTCAATTTTAAAGACTCAGAAATGAAGAAACTGTCAGCTGAGCTGATGAGCACGAAATGTAAACTGGAGGCATTAAGGTAAAATTCTTTACTATTATAGGTATTATTAAAGTTTAGTCAACAGGAAGAAAGCTCAGTTTGAAATATTTTAACTCTAAGTACTTTTCACATGGAGTATCGTGGTTGTGATGCTGGTAAACAGATTCTCAGTGGGGAAATTTAACTAGTTTTTTCTAGTGTTACAATTTAGGAAAAATCTGTTTATTTATTATAAATATCCTAAATATAATTTATTTATCATTCAACAACACAAGATTAGAATGAAAAACAAAGATTGTCATTCTAATCTTGTGCTGTTGAATTGAACAGCACTTGGCAAATTTATAAGACTACCTGTCATAAAACAATAAATAACATCGACATATAACTAAAACCATTTTTTTGTTCAGAAATGCAAGTAATAATTGTAACATGGCACAATAATTAGAAAAAAAAAAGGTAGTTTTCAAATTCATGGATAATAGCAATGATTGTATATTAGCATTAAAATGTCATTTTGATTAAAGTGCTTTTGCATACTGGTGGATTACACCATTACACAAGCATTAAAAAAAGATATGATTATAATTTCTAATAAAAATATAGTTACCAGTGCAGCTGTGCCATAAACCTTTCACACAGTCTAATGGATTTGATGAGAACTGTATATGAGAAAAATGAGAATTATTGTCACAGTAATGTTTTCTTTCATTTATTTCAAATATTTTGGTAATTATTGTATCCCAACATTTTTCATCCAGTCTCACTCACAACAAAGTCACAGAGAAAGGCTGTGAGATGCTGGCCTCAGCACTCAGCTCCAGACCTCCCCACCTGAAAGAGTTGGACCTGAGCTACAATGACCTACAAGACTCGGGGGTGATGGCACTGTGCAATGCACTGACAGGTTTAAAAACACTCAGGTTAGTACAAAAAATAACCCAGACAAAAGGTCATGCTTTTTAAAAAGAGAAACTGAATATATGGTACAGTTGAGTTGCATTTCAAAAATGAGAGATAATGAAAAGGAACTGAACATGATTTATTGATATACAGAATTTAGCTAATTTAACGTTCAGTTAAATTCGCTCAGTTAAGTACGTGGATTCGAGGCTGATTGGCCTCAAGAAGGTGGGCAGAAACATGATCGGACTAGGTCTGAAATGTCGCAATGAGCTTGACAGCATGGGAAAGTGAAAGTGACGTAAGCTTAGATTAGCCACCAAACGCCTGGGAAGCAGACAGATGTGTGACTGCAGGCCTTCCTTATTGAACTTAAGCATAACACTTCGTTGCAATAACTTTTGCAATCGATTAGATTGCAAAAGTTATTGCAACGAAGTGTTATGCTTAAGTTCACACTTTTTTTCAGTGATATCAAATGATTAATTTGATATCACTGAAAAAAAGTGAGAGGCACATAGTGCTGTCCAAAGGGACACTGAGAAAAAGCTATGAAATGGCACTTGTGTTATGACAGAAAGTCAAACTTGGCACTGATGAGAGCATCTACCACTCATTGTTTGCTTTCTGTAGGCTATCATTTTGTAAAGTGACAGACGATGGAGGCTCCTCTTTGGTCTCAGCTCTAAACTTGAAACCCTGCAGTCTCAAAGATCTGGACCTCAGCTTTAATAACCTCACTGATGACATAGTTCAGATGCTGAAGGAAAAACAGAGGGATTCATGCTGCAGTCTGGAAAAACTCAAGTATGGAAAACCAATAACAAACACAGTTTTATACTTGATAATATTATAATAATGTTTGCAAGTTGATTTTTATTATTATTCCCATCAGTGTGGACCAAAACGCAGGATGCTGGGTTGATCTGAAGCTGCTGAAACAGTGTAAGAAAACCTTTTCTTGTTCATGAAATGTTACATGTTACATGTGATTTGCATCCATGCAGTTATATTTGCAAGTGTTTACAAGTCCCTAAACATTTTCCAAATCAGGATGAACATACAAAAATGAACAATAGTGATTTACTATAAATAATATTTTCTACATCACGAAAGTGTAAAGTCCAATGCAGCCTTGTGCTTAATCAATGATAGTCTAGTTTAAAGTCATATCCAAATTAGAGCTATTTTCTGTGGCCAAGGGACGATGTTCTGTATAAAAGTGGCTTTCATTTATTCCAGATCTGTTAACTCAACTGGTATAAGGGCAATCAAATACAATCCACATTCCTCATGCATCAAAGTTAAAACATTTAATGTAAAACAACAAGAATAACAACCAGGAAAGAACTATGCAAAATGAATGTTCACGTAAACGGTTTACACAGCATGTCAATTGTATGAACAGGGACTTGGGGAAATGTATAAATACTAAGTAACCTAGCTTTTTTTAAAAGTTTGATGATACAATAACCAGAGATGAAGAACCATACTTACATAATATTACTATTACAAGTAATTAATTGTTTTTCATGCTCTGATTCCAGTTGCCTGTGACCTAACACTTGACCCAAACACAGCAGGTGTGAATATTATTTTAACCAAGAAGAACAGAATGGCAGAATATGCCCCAGAGAAGCAACCGTATCCTGATCATCCAGACAGATTTAATACCCTCCAGGTTCTCTGTGAAGAAGGTCTGACAGGTCGCCATTACTGGGAGGCTAAGTGTTTTCAAGCTAACGTTGGAGTGGCATATAAAAGCATTGACCGGGAGGGAGACGTTGCCTCTGACTATTCATTGGGAAAGAATGAAAAGTCTTGGTGCTGGATGAATGATGGTTGTTTTTATCATAACAATTCCTGTATAAACTTTGTAGACTTTGCAGCACTTTATAGTCCTATCATAGGAGTTTACCTGGACTGGCCGGCAGGGATTTTGTCCTTCTTTGGAGTCTCTCCTGATACAGTTACCCACCTGTACACCGTGCACACAACCTTCACTGAACCACTCCATGCTGGTTTCAGTCTGGATAATGGATCAGTTTACCTCTGTAAAATTAAGTAGGTAGACATTTTGGATGAAAGGAAAGGGACCCTATACAGTTTACCATACACTGCATTACAGTATACTACAGCCCTGTCACACATGGAACAAGTAAGCCGGTTGGCTATGTGATCGTGGCTTTGATTATTTTTTTAATGTCTGTCAGGGTCATATCCAGACATACCAAGAGTAGCAATATATACACACAAAACTGATGGAGAAAGACTCTTTGCATTGTCAGTGTCAGCATTAGTTAACTGTACTTTTTTTGTATTTAGCTCTCCCTTTTTTTGACACCACAAGCAATGTCTGGAAAGGTGCTGTACTTAATTTAAAAAAAAAAAAATCACTTTTGTTCATTTTATTTTCTTGCACCTCATACACTACAGCTGGATCACCCCAGAATTGGGAATGATAGCGATGCAGAACTGCCAAAAAAAAAAAAAAGTATTGTTATTCTTTGCACACTTCATGATTCGATTTCCCTGGAAATAGGTGAACCTCACCCTAAAGGCTTTTATTGGTTGGACTGCATTCCTTGTGACACTCCTCTTTACTTATCTACTTTGACTGACTAGGGTGAAGGGAAAAGACATATCAGACTTTGTTGGTTTTAGGAAGAATATTTATTACTCAAACACAAGATATAAGAATCAAAAACTGACTTAAGACTAATAGAAGCAAAATGCTGGTTATATTGGTGTTGGCAATTCAAAGCCTAAACTAAATCATTCAATCACTGTGTTTCTCTTTGGTTACTAAAGTACAATGGAAAATCTGAATGCAAATAACTTCCTGCCTAAACTAAAGTACAGCCATGTGTCTAAATAAAAGGTGATCTAAAGAATTTGTAGTGCGATTCGAGGGTGCATGACTGTGTTTCTAAACCTGTCCCAGCCCCAGGCAGTGACACAATTAACTCTGCCTTGTACCTGAGCTCATTTGTCATAGTCGTACATTCTCCAAATGTCTGTCTGTTCACAAACTAAATAGGAATTTCAGACAAGAGGCACAAAGGGGTGACTGCTCACATTAAATCCAAGACCATGTCACTGAGTGAACTTTTAATAAGAGGAGATCTTTAGGATGAATTGAACATAATTTATTGATAAACAGAATTGAAACAGAATTGGACTCTGATGGCTAAATAGATCCAGACCATTTATAGGGCAGGACCCCACCCGGAGTGGAGATGCTGGTGATGGTGATGAAGATAGAGACTTGGATAGAGCTCTGAGTAAGGTGGGTTGAAGCAGAGATGGAGAGGAGGTGGGTTGCGGGAAGTAGTCAGAGGAACCGTGAGATTTAAAGTATGTGAAGTGGAGGCTGATTGGCTTGAAAGCGGCAGGTTGAAAGATGATTGGACTCGACCTGAGCTTGATGGTTTGGGAAAGTGGAAGTGGTGATAGATGTGTGATTATTGATCTGGCAATAACCAGATGGATCTCCTGATTGGTGGGCTGGACTGGGCTGTTTACCAAAAATCAGTTCAGCCAGGAAGCCAAATGACTAGGACACGATTCACGGGATCATAGTTGAGGGACTGCAGAGCAGGATCTACAGAAACACTGGTGAGTTAGGCAGACGGGGATGACAATTAGACCCAAAATACACAAACATCTGTAGTCTTTACCTGGAACCTACAATTCAGACTTATGACATATTGAAAGTGATATATGAATGTCACCATGTCCAAATGTTGTAATGACTTGTACCATTATTATTATGGAATTGTGACCATGGCACTAAATAACCCTGATCTGATTTTATGAGGCTGATGGCAGGAGTCTGTGAACATCAGGCCAATACTGATGTGAAGCTTTAAGTTTTTTAATTTATTGAGAAAGCGTGTGGTGTGCAGCTCATATCTTGCAACACTTCATCGATATTAACATTTCACTCTCGCTACTCCTTTTTGTTCCATTGCTTCATATGTTCTAGGCTTACCCACAAGCTGTTTTCATAGTGAAGTCATACTTTCATTTTCCTAGGAGATTTTGTATGCAGTAGAAGATTTGCATAATGAAAAGCCAGGCGTAGGGGCATAGATGAATTACCGCATCGGTAAAGAGGGCCTCAAGATTCAATAATATGTATGCACGATTGTGAATATTGGTGTAGATTGACATTAAAATTGGAGTGTGATAATAAAAGTGCTTAAATGTCGTGTAAATAGGGTCCACCTACATAATAAGGCTAAAATGCTGTTATACAGCTGCCCTTTATAGGTACATAGTTGGGTCACACATTAACCCAAAGGTAGCTTGCACTATGGCATGTGTTACTTTGAGCTTTATGTTAACATTTATTAACATTATTAATTAATTACGTTAAATCACTGCTTTTCTGTTTCATTACATATGTTACGTTCTTAGTCTAGGCGTGCATTGAACGCAACAAGCAATTGGCCCCACTCACGCACCACCCAAGAAAGAACACAAACAGTAGTATCTTTTAAAGTGCTAAGCAGCCATTTATTTGCTTCAGTAGTGAGCAATGCCAAAAATAACAAACAAAACTCCCCAATGGTCCCTATGCTTTCATACACAAATGAAAACCAACCAAAAGACAATTCACTTACCTAACTTTCTAACAAAAAACAGGAGAATACTTAATCAACAAAAATGGCTTCTCACACCTAGGCTGCTGCAGTGAACAATATATACAAGGTAAAAAAAAAATACACAATTGCTACTTTACAAATCTATTTACAAGATTAAGGTTCTATTGCCAGACACACACACACAAAAACATTGTACTTGGTTATACTTGCAAATCAATGGGCAAAGTCACTCTACGAAACAACAAATCAAAAACACATGCTCTTTGTTGGATGGTGGAGGCTAGGAGAGAGGGGGGCTAGGTGGCTGTCATCTGGTGGTTAAATACTTGAGGTGATCAGCCAATTATCCAATCCGAGGACAGGAAGAGACTCCACCCAACTACTCAGCAGACACGCCCAGGTGTCCACCCCCTAAGAAAGAAAAGGGGAAAAAACCCACAGCCATCCTCTGGTGGGAGGAATCACGCATAAAACAAACACTGACAACATTGGATCATAACACATAGATGAATGTACTGCATGAAATATACAAATTAAGAAGTGAAATAAACTTTAATTTAAATACACCCTCAATAAAAAAAAAGTTCAGAGTACTGAATTTTTCCATTGCAGAAAAGTAACTGATCAATTTAAAATCTCAGCCTTCAAAGAGTGTCTCTTTCACTGGTAAAAGTGACGGGCTCTTCAGGTGTGCCTCTGTTATCCGAAGTTCATTTATAGCATCCTGAACAATTAAAAGGCGCATCCTGATTGGCAGATGCTAACAAGAAGTATCAAATACGTTAAATGCTGGCGTCCTCCTCTGATTTTGGGCTAGCCCTGGCATAGCTGCACCATTCTCCTATAGACTATCTGTGCCTTTGTTACATTGACAACTAGACAAACATTTTACATTATCATGACGTAATTTTATTGGCCTTACTACCAAAATATTTACATTTTTTACAATCATGCTACAATCTTAGAATAATTTTATACCAAAATTTGAGAAATACAGACAATTTAAAAATAAATCGTAAGGCCATTGCTCCCTTTGGCTTCAGTGCACTGGTCATGTGCCAACTGTGTCTATATGAAAGTCTTTCTTTGCTTGTTATTACCAAACAGCTAAGCAGCTGAAAATGCAGAAGGGCAGGTTAATTTTCAGGTTAATTTGGCCAAGTGGTAAAAAGTCATGTCTTTGCGGCTGAACTAACACACAGATTAGACACATTGTTTTATATGACAAGTTCTCAGTAAATTCTTCCCACATGTTGACACCTGGTTTTCTGGAAAGGAGTCAACCTACCACCATGCAGCATGTACAGACAGGTTCGAATTATTCCTCATAGTCCGCTCCTTCCCATGTACTTTTCTAACTGAGATACCTGCAGTGTTTGGTATTTTTCTCATTACCTGCTTGAATGAAATTTCTGGTCATTTTGATAGCTCAGAAAAAACAAACAGAAAACAGTTCATTTACTAAAATATGATATTTTTGTTTCCACCTTTGATATTCATTTAAAATGTTAATTCAAACAGAAGGATAATTGCAGGGTGTCAGTTTGTTGAAAGGAGTCCTCTGCTTCATTATTGTTTGTTTTATGTGTGCATACTGATTTACTCAAAGATATCATCTCAGCTGCTGCTGCCGCACTGAGATAACCAGAGTGCAATTTTCTGCCTCGTACAGGATTCACATCCCACTGCAGAAAACTTCAAGTTCACATATAACGATGTAGCTGTCATATCATTTTTTATCATTGCCAGATACAGTTAAAAATGAAGATTTAAAAACAAAAAACAAGACAACTAGTCAATCAAATAAAACCTATGACACAGTGCATACAGGAGATGATGAAAAAATAATGTTAAAGGATACAACAGCAACATTTTTCCAGTTTTAACAATAAAAAGACTTCATATGACTTTTCTGTGAGATGAGAAGATTTTAATGAGTTTAAAATCTTTAAATCTCCAGCCAGTTTGGATAATATGTACAGATTATTTTTAAGAAAGCAATAATACCTACTAGAGTATAGCTGTGCATTGTATACACTCACCAGCAACTTTAGGCCTGTTTATCGCAATTACCAATATATAATCAGCCAATCATGATCAAGAAAACCTGCTTAAGTCCAAACCAAGCATCAGAAAAGTTATTTACGTGACTTCGAATTTGGCACGGTTTTCAATCTGACTGGTTCAGAAACTGCTGAAATTTTCCAGGGTTTACAGAGAATGGTCCACAAAAGGGAAAATATCCAGTGAGCAACAGTTCTCTGCATGAAATTGCCTTGTTGATACAAAAGGTCAGATGAAAATGACCAGACTCCTTCCAGATGATAGAAAGGCAAAGGTAACTCAAATACCTATGTGGTACAACGAAGGCAGACGAGCATCTCTGAACACACAACACTTCAAAGCTTGAAGTAGATTGCCTGTATCAGGGGCCTCTCCTGTCAGTTAAGAACAGGAAATTGAGGCTGCTATCCACATGGACTCACCAAAATATGACGATAAAAATGGAAAGAAATTTCCCTGGTATCATGAGTCAATTCCTACAACAACATTTAAATGTTAGGTTAGAATTTTGTGTAAACAACACAAAAGCATGGATCCATCCTGACTTGTATCCATAGCTCCTTCTAGTGGTGATGGTGGTGTAATGGCAAGTACAAACTGAGCGCTGTTTTAAATGCAACAGCCTACCCTAGAAGAGTTGCTGTCCATCTCTATACCCTTATCAAAACACCTATGTTCTGATGAGGCTCAGATCATCTCAAACTGGTTTCTTAAACATGACAATGAGTTCGTTGTATTCGAATGGGCTCCACAATCCATCAGATCTCAATCTAATAAAGTACCTTTGGGAACATGGTGGAGTGAAGATCCATATCATGGATGTGCATCCAGCAAGTCTGCACCAAGTGTGTGATGCTATCATGTCAGTATCAACCAAAATCTCTAAAGAACGTTTCCAGCACTGTGATGAAAGCCCTTCTGAATAACGTTAGTTATGAAGGTGTACCTGATATAGTGGACATTTGTATAAATATGTGTATATTGCTCAGGTTTCCACATCTTCTGTACTTTGCTAGTCTCCCTTATATTTAGTGGAATCCAAATATATAAGAGGAGATTTCTTTCTGCTGAGTTCAAATGTTGTTGTGTTAGCCTGGGTGGGATGTGCAGTTTGAGGGTGTGATCTGTCTCTTTAAAACTTGATTTGACAACATTAAAGCAGTATGTGCAGCCTTCTGTCAGCTGTGTGACACACATGGGGATTGTCCCGTCTGCTGTTTGTTTTGTCACTTTGTTTCTCCCATGGTTCCTTTCAGTTGTCAGCAGAGCAGCAGCCTTGTTAGCGTAGCTCCCTCTGAGTTTCACTGACACACACACCTCAGCACCAACAGATACACACACACACACACACACACATATACAGGTATGAACCCTCAGGTTTACAAAAGTTTTCCAAGTTATTCGGATGGACAACCACAGTATCACAACATAGTGAGGCATACTTCATCTTATACTTAGGCACCTATTGTGAATGTATGCACAGGAACATTAAAGATTACTCAGAAGATATTGAGAAATAAATACACACTTACACTTTTCATGCATGCTTGTTTGTTTAACAATAAGTATACAGTAAGTAAGTAGTAAGTATACAGTAAGTATACAGTTATGACCAATTTAAAAAACATTAACGTGGCTTTGTGCAAAATTAACAGAATATCTCCCTTGTTGGTTCATGTTTGCAGGCAGAAGGTATCTGCTCTGGTGCAAAACATTTTGCGGTACATGCACTAAACACCTGTAAAACTGCAAACCTTTTTACTTTTATTGACTCTAATCAAGAAAATATTATGTATTATTATGTATATGTAATGTAAAAGGGATGTATATGTAAAAGGGATCTTCAGAGGTGTTAGGAGAAGTGAATGCTTTTTAAGTTTTGGAGATGGAAACACAATCTGTACACATATACACAACCAACTGTTTGTCTCTGTTGCAGGTGGTTGCACTAAGCTAAGCTAAGCTAAGCTAAGTAAGCTAAGCTAAGAGAATCTGTTTATGCAAACACACATAAATCCTCTCCCAGCCCACCCCTTCCCCTTATTTCTGCATTATCAAACAAATATATAACCTTGAAAATGCCTGGTTACTGTGTGGTATCAACAGTTTTTTTTAGAGACAACGTTTAAAAGAATAAAATAGTAAATCATCTGCGGTGTTTTCAGTTACTCACAGATAATGTACTTACCACAAAAGAAGCATTCAGTATCCTAATATTGTTGTTGTATACAGTTGCAAATATTCACAGGTTTTTCACAGTTTTGCAACTTTCATACTTTTTTCCAGAGAAAT